ATTTTTAATAAATACTTTTAAAAGACATTGTGCTTTTTGGAAAAATCACAAAGAAAAAGTTGTACCATAAATAGTTAGAGGTAACATTAGTCTTTCTTTTACTGCTATTAAAAAAAGACTTCATGGGCGCCCTTCTCTCTGCTCTCCTTACACTGTCAGACATAAAGTACCTTGGTCCTGGCGGATGGCAGAGCCTCCTTCATGCTCTGCCTCCAGACTCAGATTCCCGACTCTTCCACCAGAACTTGAAACCACCAATCCCATCATGCCACACTCACTGCTCCAAGGCAAACTTCAGACTCACAGATTCTGTGACCTCAGCCCCACCTTTCCCCTCAGCCCCTTCCAAACATAACTGTAGACAAAAATTATATAAGGGAAAAGACTGACATTTGATTATGCAAAAAGTAAAAATATCTGCAAAAACCCACCAATAACAAAAGGTAGGGGGTAAATAAGGTGAGTGACAAAACAGGAAAAAAAAAATGTGAATTTATGTGCGTGTGTGTGTGTGGCAAGCTATAGAATAAAGGATTAACATGTTAAATACATAAACGAGTTCTAATAACCATTAAGGAAAATGATTGCCTCAACAGAAAAATGAGCAAAGAAACAATAAGAAAAATTCACCACAGGAAAAAAAAAAAGTGAAAGGAAAAATGGGAGCGAGGGAGGGAGGGAGACAAGGACAGAGGAAGAGGACAGAGGCAGGGAAGAGTCAGAAAACAGACAATACAAAGAAAAAAAAACTAGGAAATACTGAGTTTGATGCACTCTTTCACCAGTAGAATTTCTCAGAGTCTAGTCTACCATGTACATTTAGAATCAAATGATTGTTCAAAAGACTTACAGATCTTCCAAACTGACTCTAAGGTACTCTTCTTATACAACAAAACAGGGAAATAAAGCAGAAAACAATCTAAAGTTGAAGAGGTATGGATGGTACCAACATATTAGTATTGATTTAAAGAGATGTTTGATAGCAGCTCTCAGTTGTAATTTCAAAGAACAACAACAACAGTAACAAACCAGCAGCTACTTAAAAATAAAAGACTACAGATACATGGAAATAAAAATAACCACTTTTAGGAGATGAAAAAAAAAACCAAAGTGTACGATGCCCAACATGTACACACCCCAACTTGAATTTTAAAATTATATTGTTGCAACTCAAATGTAAAGTTTGTGCTATATATTTGTGCAAATACATTTTGTTAAGGGTTGAGGAAAACCAATGCCATATTATAATCATTTGCTTCTTAAACTCGCTTGACCTACAGACTCTTAGATGCTACATTTCAGAACTTAAGGTTAACCTAGTTTAGATATAAACCCCAGCAAGAAAGGTTTTCCATTTTTCAGTTTTACAGTTTGATTTCAAACCATAACAGAAACAAGTTTCAGAATCAATCACAGCATCTTCTCTTTCTGTATAATTTAGGAAAACCTTAATGAAATGCCCACGAATGCACTGAGATACACCGCAAGTGGCTTTAGATATTCCAATTTCATACACTCCCCTCTCACTAGTCTGCATGGCACGGTAAAACAAATGCCAATGAGTTTTAAAATATACAACCCTCTCACATGAAGTAGAGGGCCCAGAAATTCAACAAAAAATAACAGTTAAAATCTCTTTGACACAGATTCCAATATAGATTCCATTATTCAAACTCCTCTACAGATTACTGGAAAAATATGAGGTAATTTTCACAAAAACCACTAATTGAGTGGAATAATTATAACCGATATATAAATAAATTTTTACTAAAAAAGGCTTAAAAGGGTGATATTTTAAATCAAGGTTTTAAATACAAAAGGTGTCTCGTGTTGCTTCATTGCCTAGAGTTTCAGATATTCTTTATTCTACAGTTACAGATTTGGCAAGATTCCGTGGGAAATCAACCTGGAAAAAAAAAGAAAAAGGATAAGATTTGAGAGATTATACTGGTGTGGGAAAACATCCTGTTTTTATTAAAAAGAAAAGGAGGAGAATTCTTATTAACTATGTTTATTATACAAAGAATAAGATTAGAAAATATAATTATATCTTTTTAAAAGCTGAAATTCATTAGGGAAAAGAATTCTTTACAGTCAGTTTAGCACAGATGAGCTACCACGGCCCTCCAGAGAGGAGGTGGACCTCCTGGGGAAGGCTGGGAACATGTCCAGGGCAGAATGTTGTCACAATGACAGGGAGACCAAGATCACTGAAAGTCCTGCAGTGTGCAGGACAGTCCAAAACAAGAAAGAATTGTCCTGCCTCAAAATTATAATAGCTTCCCTGTTAGCAAACACCAGTGTATACTAAGAAAACAGATTGTGAGTCCCCAAGTAGGGCCACAATCTAAGGGCAAGAAAATGTTATGCTGGAACCTAAAAATTAGGCCACGCAAATATATCAGGTAGCAGATGTTGTTAAAAACTGGGGACAAAAACGATCCAAATGTGCACAGGGTAAGGAACCATAACAGGGTTTCCTCGTGGTAGACTACTTACATCATAGCCTCTCAGTACAGCAAGGTGGAAAGCCAGCAGCTGTAAGGGGATCACGCTGAGAATGCCCTGCAAGCAGTCCACTGAGTGGGGCACCTTGATTGTTCGTTTTGTGTTCTTAATGGTCTCGGTATCTTCCTTATCACAAATCACCACGGGGCGCCCCTGGGAAAGAAAATCCCAACACACATACAGAGATGCATATCAGTGGCAACCACAGGCAAGGCTGTGTAGCACACAGATGGGTAAATTTTACACCGCATGACCCAGAACTGGCCACACTGACATAGATTTACTTAATCATAATCCTAGGAAGTCAGTCTGAGGATCTCACTTAGAGCTACGGAAATGAAGGCTTAGTGGGATACAGCAATTTGTTTAAACTCACACAACTAATCAAACACCAGGCTGAGTACTTAACCCAGGCCTGACTGCCTTCAAAATTCCTGTCTATAATCTCTATCTTATGCCTTCCTAATAAAATCTTGTCCCTGAGGAGTAGTATCTTTTGAGATTTATGCATAAAATCAAGTGATCCAAGAGAGTATCCATTAAGTAGAGTATCTGTAACATTAATAGAAAGTCTAAAATTAAGTTTCTCCCAAAATTCCCTGGAGAAGGACATGATGCTTGGTAAACTAGAGGGTTAACAAAAAAGAGGAAGACCATCAATGAGATGGACGGTACACAGTGACTGCAACTATGGGTTCAACAACAATGACTGTGACGCTGGCAAAGAACTGAACGACGCTCTGCTCTGCTCTGTTATAAACCGTCGCTATGAACTGGAATTGCCTCAACAGCATCTAATGACAACGACAACAATGAGAAGAGAAATGCTCGTGCGCACTGAAAGACGACAGGATTTGACTACCAAGACCTAAGTTTTGGTCTTGGTTCCGCCTATTCTGAGATTTATGAGCTAAGGCATGTCAAAATTGACTTTGATCAGATTCCCCACATGTAAACCTCAAAGGTTGTATTTCTAAGCTAATGACTTAATGAGTGTGGACATGTTTTGCAGCCATTTATCAGTGGTCTGCCACATTAAATTTCATAAAACTCAAATACGCTTTAGGAGCCCAACGCTGCTCCTCACAGCAACCCGACTGACCTGCCGAGCAACCACCTGCTGAAGAGCATTCTGACACTTGGCGTAAGTGTGGTCTCTCATGATGATCATGATGACAGGCATCAGTTTATCCACCAAAGCCAGAGGGCCATGCTTCAACTCACCAGCGAGGATGCCTTCTGAGTGCATATAGGTGATTTCTTTGATTTTCTAACAGGAAAGAGCATGATTAATCTTCAATCTGTTCAAAACCTATCCTTAATTAAATTTTATATAAAACATCTGATATCTGTAGTCAATGTCTAAACAAAGTGTTAGAGGACTTTGTTGTTGTTGTTGTTAAGTGATGATAAGTCAGTTTCAACTCACAGAGACCCTGGATAGGGTTTCTGAGGAGCAGTTAATAGATTTGAACCTCTGACCTTGCAGTTCATATCAACGTTGTGGCCCAGTGCACTATCCTGCAGCAACACACTAGGACTCTATTAAAGGACTACTGTTCTGTAAACAGAGCTAACAAGCTATTGTTGTTAAGTGCCGACTGAGCCAGATTTGACTCACGTGACCCTGTACAGGGTTTCCGAGGAGCACCTGGTGGGTTCGAACTGCCAACCTTGTAGTTCAAACTGACATTGCAGTTCAGTGTTGATTTCCATAATACCAGTAACTTAAATAATTAGAAGTGTTAAAACTCCACAAAAACCTTTTGAATGTTTTTGAATATCGTGACCTTACTCACATTTCTTTTTAAACTATTCTTCTACTTGCTTTATTCCTGACTTCCATTCATTTTACATCTAAAGAACTTCAACTATTATGGCACATTTGAGGAAAAATTAACCCAAGCTACTTGTAAATTATCATGCTACTTATGAATTATTGTTATTGCTAAGAGTCATCCAGTCAAAAGCACCACACCAGGCCTGCCATTTATGATAAGTACTCCATTTACAGCATGATCTCAAGAAAAACAAAGCCAGAACACATAAATACAAAAGCACTTTTAAAAGTTCCACATATTTCATTCATGCAATCTGAACTTCGAAATTGACTGTGAGAACACTTACTAGTGCTCCTTCCAGACAGGTAGCATAATGATAGCCACGCCCCATTATCAAGACTGACTTCTGATGGTAAAGCTCTGTTGCAAGTTTCTGAATTTCATCGTCCATGCTCAGCACTTCCTTAATCAAATCTGTTCAATAATATTAGATAAAGCTATGAAAAAAGGACAATAAACTGAACAGCTCTAATAATAGTAATATATTGATGATGTTGTTGTTAAGTGCCATGGAGTCAGTTTTGACTCCGAGCAACCCTGTATAGGGTTTCCGAGGTGTGTCTGGTGAGTGTGAACCGCCAACCTTGCGGTCCAGCGCTTATCCTACAAGCGCCACACCAGGACTCCAATACATTGATAGCAACCAAAAACAGCCAGTGTTCTATTCTTCCATGACAAAAGTATGGGATTTTTCAATGCAAAGGAACACAAATAATAAACTCAAACACACACTCTTACTAACTAACTAACTAGCTATAAACCACAGCTTCTAAGGACAGGAAGTGAATTTCATCCATCACCTGCTCCCTTAGACAACAGAAGGGTAATGTGTTATTGTTAACTTCGTACCAGGCAGCCGTTTCAACCCCAGCATAATCTCTTTGCGTCTTTCTTGCATGGAGATCCTGTCATCACACATCATGAGGGCGAACATCACAAGGGACACAAACTGGCTGGTGTAAGCCTGAGCACCACAAAAAATAAAAAAATTAAAAAAAGCAAGAGAATAAGCTGCAGTTGCATTTTAAAAGAACTTGGAATGTTTAAGCTGAAAAAAGATGAAAAAATTTTTAAAGTCCACTGGCCTTATGTATATATAACTTGTCCTTTAGAAACAGCATTAGCAACAGTGAACTCCATCAGTCTACCAATCTCTATTTCTGTGAATCTTGAGCAAACTGCCTTAATCTTTATGTTACCTTATAACATTAAAACACCTTCTAATGATTTGGATCCTTATGAATTTCTAAATACCCGCTGAGAAAGGAAAAAATAAGCAAGTCAAAGAAAGATGACTAGAAAATAAATCTGTATGTATCTAAGCAAATAAAGTTTTCAATGTAAGTGAAAACCCAACGGCTTCTATCTTCCTTTCCCATTATTATAACTTTTCCTGACTAAACAGGACAGAACTTCTAAAACAGGGATAGCAAACATGTTTCATATAGGGTCAATCTTAACACATTGGTATTCACAATGAAGCATTGTATTAAGGAAGATTCTAGATTCTAAGGCTACCTTTTGTGTTTCTGCTTCACAGAACCAAAAACCAAACTCAATTGCTGTCAAGCTGATTCCAACGCACAGTGACCCTTCAGGGCAGAGAAGAACTGCTCGATAGGGTTTGTGAAGCTGTGAATCTTCACAGATACAGACGCTCTCATCTTTCTCCTGCAGAGCCGTTGGTGGGTTTAAGTTGCTAACCTTTCACTTAGCTGTCCAATGCTTAACTTGCTGCACCACCAGAACTCCTTCCTGCCTCGAATTCAGACAAATTCAATCCTAGAAAGGTTCTGGAAAAGCAACTGAGGCTCAGAGATCAAAGTCCCGAAGCTTTCTGGTTTACAGTTCACTCATTTGTTTTAGTCTATTAGCTCTCTCCTTCTGCTTTATTGGGCTTTCTTTTTCTAACTTTATGAGTTAAACAAATCTTTTCAAAGATAAACTTTTTTTTTTTAACTGTATAAAGTGGTATTATCTTTATTTTTGCAAAATTTAATTTCAGAACAAAATAAACAACAAAAAACACGTAATATACAGTATCTAACCTCAGTCCCAAATAAGAGAAGGGGACGGGGCCTGAGGACCTTACATCCTGCCTTACCCACAAGGCCATGAGACAAAATAACCACTAAATCTCAGTAGATGGAGCCAGGTGGGGTAGGGCCACTCAAGGCTGCCATGGGATCCTATATAGAGGGCACCAGTTTTGTGGGTAGAAATGCCTAACCTACTTCTGCCATGTATGATGTATCCTCATCACCCTCAAACGGGTAGGATCTCATCAGGAACAGCAGCTCTGGGTTCCTCAGCTGTCACTTCAAATTCATCAATGCCTAAAGCCCAGCTTGATCATGCATTAAGATGCGTTTGGAGTAAGTGGGTATCTTCAGGGAAGAAGCCAAAAGAGAGCAGTGCAGTTTCAAAGAGCAGGAGGGTATCGCCAGATCTTTGACGGTTTTGTAGTTCGTGTCTGCTTCAGCCTTCTGCCTCAGTGTCTCCACGATGGGGTGATCAGGGTTGATCTCTAGGTGTTTGTAGAGTTGTCCCCAAGTGCCCGGGCTTTCAAGATACGTTCCATGTTGGCCGTCTAGCCATACGTACTAGTTTCCGTGCAGCAGAGTGAAGACAGACACAAAGTCTATTGGAAATTGTCACCTTCTGAACCTTCTTATCCAAGATTTCCTTCATGAGCTTGCAGAGGTTCTCAAACTTGGCCTTGCTCTCTTCTGTTCTCTTTTCTCTCTTCATCCTCAGGTAGCTCTAGGCCTTCTTTGGTAACTGAGGCCAGGCTCTTCCCATTACATCCTTGAGCTGTTTGCATAGTACGCGTCAGAAGGTTCAGTCATACACAACCTCAAAGCCCCACTTCCATACTCGCTTGACAAAAGTAGAGTTGGCTAACTGCTCTTTGCTCTCATCAGTGAGATAGCCCATGGCTTTCTGGGTCTCTTTCACGTGAGAGAGATGTCATTTCATCTCCAGACTGGAAAGTGTGACAGGGCAGCAGCTCAGACAGGCATCACTGGTTAGTAGATGCCCAGCTTCAGGTTCTTAGAGAATGACCCACAGAGTTTCTTACAGTTCTCCCCGTTGCTGCCAACTCAGAGAAGAGCCCAAGGCACTTCATGACAATGTTTTTGGAGATGACCTCAAGATTTTGCTCTGCTGGGGCAGGTCCTCAGAGTCTACCACACCACATATGAAACTGAGATACTCTGGTATTACCTCATCACAGCTGTCCTTGATGAAAATGCAGCAGACATAAAGTTTAATGTTATATTTTCCTTCTTGTTCTCTAAAAGGTTAAAGGCAATCCGGCGGGGGATAAACCGCAATGCCCTAAATTTCAACTAACCTTCACAGACAAGTGCTTCACTACCAAGTGGTCGTCCCAGTCATTTGTAAGGCTCTTGGAGAATTCCCCCATATTCCTCCTGGTTGTTGTCATCAGGCTATATGATCCAAATGGGCTTGGTCTTGTTGAGTTCTTCGTGGTCAGTGCTTTTCTCCTTAATCTTTTTCTTGTCCTTACCACTATCATCTTCCTCATCTGAGCCCACTTCTTCAATCTTGGACTTCTAGTCTTCAGCCTTATCTTCTTTCTCACCTTTCACTTCCTCTGCCTCATCATCACTGATTTCCTTCCCACTCTCATTTCTTCTCCAGGTAAAGGGTGATGGGACAGCCTATGAACTGCAAGTGCTTCTTCGCTATTTCTTTTGACTCACCTGTCCTCTAGGTACTCTCCCTGGTCTTCTTGAGGCGCAGAATCACTTTGGTACTCCAACCAGTGGTCTCACTGTGGTCAGCACCAACAGTAAAGGAACCCCAAGCAGAAGACTCCCAGGCATACTGCTCATCATCATCATGCTTTGTGATCACAAGCACTTTCCCTGCCACCAAACAGGCAGAATAAAAGCCAACACCAAATTGTCCAATCATGGAAATGTTTACACCAGCCTGTAGATCCTCCATAAATGCTTTGGTACCAAACTTGGCAATGGTTCCCAGATTGTTTATGAAATCAGCCTTGGTCATGCCAACACCAGTATTCAATAGAGTACATTCCTGGGGATTGAGGGTGATGCCAATTTTTGACTCTTTACCGCTGTCCAACTTGGAAGGATCTGTCAGACTCTCATAGTGAATCTTGTCCAAGGCATCAAAAGCATTAGAGATCAACTCTTGGAAGAAAATGTCCTCATTGGAACAGAAGACATTGATGATGGGCGACATGAATTGAACAACCTCTGCCTCTCTGTGGTGCACTTCCACAAGGACTTTGAAGGAGAAGGAAGGGCTGCAAGTAGCAAACAGCTGTGGGCAGTGGATGAATGAGGCTCACACAAGGCATGTGGGGGCGGCGGTGGGCGTGTGTGTGTGTGTGTGTGTGAGAGACTCAAGGGAGCTCAGGTGAAACATTTAAAGCACCGAAATTACCTCTAATTACACTATGGCCATACCCTCCTCAAGTTTTACCCACGTTATTCATTGTAATTATTTTTTTCTGTAGTCTTTTAAAAGAGCAGTTTTGGTATTTTTTAGCCCAATGGTTATTTAGGAGTCCTGGTTAGTGGTGCAGGATAAGCACTGGACTGCTAACTGCAAGATCAGTGGTTCAAACCCACCAACAACTCCTCAGAAACCCTATAAAGGGGTCATTATGAGTCAACACCAACTCGATGGCACTTAACAACATCAACAATGGCTATTTAAAGTAACATTTTTATGCTTTGGTTATTTAGGCCTTTTATTTGTATTTTAATTTTTGAATCACTGAGATCTCAGTCGTAGTGTTACATATAATTTTCTTCTTAAAGTTTTATTTATTACCGTTGTTGAGAAATATACAGCAAAATATGTATCAATTCAATAGTTTCTACACATATACTTTAATAACATAATTACATTTTTCGAGCTGTAAAACCAGCTTTTCTGAATTGTTCCTCCCTCATTAACTTAACAATAGATTTTAATTATATTTTATTATAAAGGTTTACACAGCAGTTTAGGTTTCCATTCAAAAATGCCTACACAGATTATTCAGTGACATTGGCTACATTCTTTACAATGTAGGAAATAGGCTCAGTATTTCCATTCTGGTTGTACCATTTTCATTCATCTAGTTCTCCTGCCCCCGTATTACACCCCATCTTTGTTTTTAAATAACTGCTGACTGTTAGACTTCATATAGATGAATTTTTAAGAAGCTCTGGTAGCGCAGTGGTTACAAGTCAGGCTGCTAACCTCAAAGTGAGCAGTTCTAAACTGCCAGCTGTTCTGTGGGAGAAAGATGAAGCTCTCTGCTCCTGTACAGCCTCAGAAACCCTGTGCAGGGTTTCTATGAGTCAGACCGACTTGACAGCACAGCACACCACCACCACCACCAAATGAATGTTTAAAGGAGCAGGTTATGGACAACTTTACTTTTGTGTGTATCCCATTACATCCTGAAATTCTATTACTCTTTTCTGGATAAGAGATCACTTCATTTTAAAGTATTTCCTGTTATGATGTGGATAAATGAGATTCTCTGTTAAAAAATTTTTTTTTAAAAAATCACAATCTGACTGTGAGTTAAATGAGACTCCTTATTTCCTCCTGTTGAACCTTTGGCCCCTGCTATCAGCTGCTCATATGATCCAATACCAACTGCTGGTCACTATAAACCTATTATGTTTCCACCTATTTACTGTGCTTTTTTTGCAATAGCAACCAAGTGGATTTGGAGTCACTACACTATAGTCTGTTGTTGCTGAGTGCTGTCGAGTCAGTTCCAACTCTCAGTAAGCCTGTATAGGGTTTCTAAGGAGAAGCTGTTAAGTTTGAACCACCAACTTTGTGATTCAAACTGACCTTGCGGTTGAGTGTTTATTCTACAGTACCACACCAGGACTCCAGCCTCCAGTTCAATGAGCACATATGTATTCTACATTTCCGTCTCTCCCTTCTGGGATGGCAGAGTAGTGCAACACTTCCATATACAGAGTTCTATCTACATGGCAGATGTGTCCACGGTGTTCATATACTGAGAGCTAGCTATATGGCAGACATGTCCTATATGCTCATATATAGAGAGCTACGTACTTGGCAGATCAGTCCAACATATCCATATACAGAGAGCTAGCTACACGGCAGGGTAGTGCAACATTTCCATATACAGATTTCTAGCTACAAGGCAGATGAGTCCAACTTGTCTACATATAGAGATCTAACTACATGGCAGGGTAGTGCAACATGTCCATATTCAGGGTAGTAGCTACATGGCAGATGTGTCCAACATGTCCATATACTGAGAGCCACCTACAGGGCAGACAAGTCCAATATGTTCATATATAGCGAGCTACCTACTTGGCAGATCAGTCCAACATAATTAATCACAAAAGATTAATCACAAAAGATACCATAAGGGCAAAGTGAGATATCAGGTAGCTGGGACTCCTGGGATCCCTAAGCTATTTCCAACCCAAGCCTATCAGGTTATGAGTATATTAGTTCCTCTAGCATATAACTACACATATTACTCTACGGATCAGTATTTCTTTGTTTGAATTTAAAACATCTCCAATTTGACTGTTAAGTACAAATGTTGACACATACATTTTTCCATTCCATTCTAATTACATATTAATTTCCAAGTTCATATTTTCAATTTCATCAATACATACCAGAAAATCATTTATAAGAAAAATAAGCTATACCCCCCCACATTTACAATCTACTGAGCTTTAAAAGAATTTAACAGGAAAATATTGACTCTGAAGATTTGAAGTTTCTTTTTTTTTTTTTTTCTTTTCACTCAGTCAAAAATAAAGTTACATTGGTTTATTTTAGAAAATTAACAAAAGTCAGTACTATGGGGAAATTCTAAACACCTGCAATAACATACAAAAACTGATGAGCCTTCAAATTTATATCCATCAATTCCTACAGAAAAATTGTTTATGGTCTGATGCTGTAAGAATGTCAGAAATGTTCTTCTAACTCTGACAGTTTTCTAGGAAAAGTTGGGAATTTGTAAACAAGATTACAGAATTCCACAGCTCATTCCACCACTGCGCCCAAAGATCAGAATCAATAATCAACTTATTTCAACCATTAACATATCAACTTATACCTATCATTCCGAAATGGTCTGTGAATAAATCCCCCAAAACTTAAATAACCCCTTGCCCTAAAGTCTAGGGCAATTGAAAAAAAACAAATTACTTTAAAATACAAGAAAAATAAAAGTAACACAAAACTTCCAGACTATTAAAATTTTTAAAAGAGCCATTTGTGTGTTAAGAAATTAAAAGTGTGTACAATTTAAAGATTCCCTTATATAGGAACAATGACATGATACTCTTCTCAAGGAGTATGCAATGCATTCCAACTGCTTTATCCAACTGCCATGGAGTCGATCCCGACTCAGAGTTTCCAAGCTATAAATCATCCTAGGAGCAGGCAGCTTCATCTTTTCTAAGTGCCAACTTTGTGGTTAACAGTTCAGTGGTTATCCTACAGTGCCACCTGAGCTCTTTTTAGTGGTATGTCAGGAACATGAAAAAGTGTCACAATATAAAAACTGAAGCAATTAATTTCACTTTAAGCTTGAATGAATATTTTCAAGAGCAAAAGTCTTATAAGCTAGGTTCTAACAAAAGAATTATGCCTTTGAATAGTGAATTTTTTAAAATATGGAGAATATATTCTCATCTTTTCAAAATATACTCATCAATAATGCTGGGGAAATTAAAGTTCTTTCTTTATATATTCTCTCCCTCAAATAGTCCTAAAACATACGTCAGAACTTACAGTGAAAGCAGACAAGGTATCATTACTCCATATTATCTATCAGATGCTTTTCAGGAATGGAAAAGAGTAACGTGTGACTGGTGAGGTAACTGTGATTGGTCACAGAGAAAACTGAAGTGTTTTTTCTATGACCAATCATTTCACCGCACCAGACAAAGTCGACCTCAATAAGGAGATTTTTTAAATTAATGGCAGAATACAGGTAATAAGGTAATAAGGAATACAGGTAACAAGAATATGGGTCCTAATGTAAAAGTCTTTTAACTTTTTGTACATTTGAAAAATCATCTTAATAAAATGCTAAAACAAATTTAAGTTCCTATGAGCAAAAGATTTAGAAATTGGTAGTTCACCTTTTTGAAGGTTTTATAAAAAGGGAAGGCAATAGTATCCACTCAGTGTTATAACCCCTTATACCACACATGCCATGGTAAAGCCCAAGTTTCATGAGGTAAGAATAAGGGACCCAGGAATTCCAATCCTCCAATTAAAGCTGTCTCCACATTGTTCCAAAAACCTAAAAGCTACTGTTGAGAGCTGCTGGTTATTTATTCAGTCACAAGATCGGAATCCAAGCACAAACACCTTACATGTTTTAATTACCACATTCATAAAATTAAGGTTTCAGCTCTCTGTAAATTACAGTGCTTACAATATCAAGTAGCCAAAAATCAAAAAACCTCACTAAGGTTTTACATAAGAATCACAAACTTTCCACACACAAAAGAATTCTGCAGATTTTTTTAAAAGAGGAAAAAACAATTCCAATGTGATTATTTACTAGTTATTAGACAACTAGTAAAAGATAATCAACTTAAGCAGCAAAATAAACAATGAGAAACTTAAAATTTAGAATCATAAAGAGTAAAAAGCATTCGGAGAGAAGTCGTATTATTCACATTTAAACAGCTTTCCTATTTTTTGACTAGTATTAGATTTATACAAATTTCAAGAATAAAGCAGACTCACTGGGTCTTTTTAAAAACAAGAAGGTACTTTAAAACCTCCACAGAGAAACAAATACATTATCATATAATACTCACTCAATCCTCCTACTTACAAATTTTCAAAGGTATTATATTCTGACTATTTTTAGAAACCATGAATAGGTAAATATGAATAAGTTAAAATTATTAGAATTAAGCTGGATGTTTCTAACCTGGTACTTGTAAAAGAAAGGGATATTGCACTTAAACATGCATCCACAACAGCTGGCAGGAGAGATTTTAGTGATGAATGGGGAGAGCCAGCAGAGACCCTATCAAAGTGGACTGATGTATATAAACGTTTCTCTTAAACACTAAGATCTAGGAATGGGGGACAAATCTTTTATCTATTACCGACTCTCAAGTCTTACAATGATTATTAGCAAAAGGTGTTAAGTTCCATAACTGCTAACAAATGAAACCTATGATCCAGACCTATCTGTTTCATCACTACTATGATTAAATAATCACATGAGAAATAAACCAAGATTTTACCTTTGTACTGGCCACACCAATCTCAGGACCTGCATTAATGTGAACTCCACAGTCTGTCTCTCTTGATATAGAGCTGCCAACTGTATTTGTGATCCCCACAGTTAAAGCTCCTCTCTCCTTACAATACCTAAGACCCATCAGGGTATCTGCTGTCTCACCTGTATAAAAATTAAGACAAACCACTGTCAGACACATGAGACATTTCAACAGATGCTGTTCCTTAGATACAAAATAAAAAACCAGAAGCCATTTAGATGTTAAATTTCATTTGTTTAAACTATAAAACATGTTTAAAATAACTTATAACATTTAATAACAAGATTTTTAACATCTCTTTTTCTTCTCTATCTATGAATATTTAGCCCTCCGAGAATTACAGATTAATTTTACTAATTCATAAAGAATTATGTAATATCCAAAGGTATTTGTCAAGTAATCTGCAATACCAGTTGATATTTGTTGTAAGGTGCTGTTCAGTGACCCTATGCACAACAGAACAAAATACTGCCCAGTCCTGTGCCATCCTCACAAATGTTATATTTGAGCCCATTGTTGTTGCCACTGTTGATTCATCTTGTTGGGGGGTCTTCTTCTTTATCAGTGACTCTCCACTTGACCAAGCATAATGTCCTTTTCTAAGGACTAATCCCTCCTGACATGTCCAAAGAATGAGAGACAAAGTCTCGCCATCCTCGCCTCCAAAAAGCATTCTGGCTATACCTCTTCCAAAACAGACCAAGATACCAGCTATGACTGCTGTTAAGTGTCGAGTCAGTTCCACAACCTTGTACAGGGTTTCTGAGAAGCAGCTGGTGGGTCTGAACCACCAACTTTATCCTGCAGTTAAGTGCAGTGTTTATCCTACAGCATCACATTAGTATCTTTAAATATCAAGTTTTGCCAAGATAGGCCAGAAACAATATAAAGAGCCCGTTCTCTTCTTTTTATGACTTTAAATTAGCATACCTGACTGACTAATGAAAAAGCAAACATCATCTCGAAAAACTGGTGTATTTCGATCCAGGAAGTCACTGGCTAGTTCCACCATCACAGGCAACTCAGTCAGCTCCTCAAGAACTTGGCGTGTCTGCAGAGAAAAAGGGGACTTAGTCATATAACCTTATTTCAGTACTCCACCACTTTTTCAGTGTACTTTGGACTCAATGTATTTATTGTTTTCACTTTTTCTAACTATAAAAATAATCGTTGTTGTTGTTGGTGGTGGTGTTGTCAAGTGCCTTCAAGTTGGTTCTTAGCAACCCAGAGTCTGAGTAGCCGACGACCCTGTGGTCGAGTGCTTATCCTAGAGCACCACACCAGGACTCCATAAAAGTGATAGATGGATAGTTGTCTAGAGAGACTTACACTAAAATGTTAACAGTAGTTTTCATAGCAGGATTTTGATTATTTTTTTAATTTAATGCTTTAATCTCTGTTGTTGTTGCTAATCTCTTTATCTGCTAATTATATATATATATATATATATCACTCTCATATACATATATTATTAGAAGATATGGAGATTACAGCATTCAGTTAAAAAATAATCAAAATCCTGTCATCAAAACCACTGTTAACATTTATAGTGTAAGTTTCTTTAGACAACTATCCATGCATAGATTCATACAAGCAAATACACCAACATATAGAAAATGTCATCTTGTTTTTAAGTGCAGCCCAGTCAGTTCTGACTCATAGCAACACTGTATAGGATTTCTGAGGCTACAAATCTTTTCAGGAATAGAAAGCCTAATCCTTCTCCTGAGGAGCAGGTGGTGGGCTCGAACCACCAAACCTGTGTTTTGCAGTTCAGTGCATACCCTAAAGAGCCACCATGCACCCCTATGAAATATCCAGAGACGTTAAATTGGAAAAGCACTGCTGTGAATCCATTTCATGGCATATCTAATTTTGTTATTCCAAATCTTCAAACAGAAATTCATATAATACCTATAGTAGCTGAGAAATTTTAAATGAGATAACAAAAGGTGTCCAAATAGTGAAAAGTACTTTAAATAGGCAACGTATTCATAAAAGGCAGTTTCCCAAAAAGAGTCAATACATTTTGGAACTCTTATTTAAGAAGGCTCACTGTTCCCCTCTAAGACTGAAACTCAAAGGGAACAAACACATGAGCAGGTAGGTAAGCCTGCTGATCACCACATTGGTCTACTGGTGAGTGGAAGAGGAGGAAAGGCAGCAATGAAGA